ATATTAAGTGTTACGTGATAAAATATTCTTTTGTTTTTAATTATTTTTTGTATCAGTCCTAGTTTTTTTTTTAATTTTTTAAAAAGTAATAGTTCACAATTAGTTAAAACGGTCAACCGATCCATATTGGCACAACTAATCAGTCGGATACTAGTGGATTTCACTGGTGTCTTTAACTATTAAACAAAAAATCGATTGATTTGATCAACTAAATTAGACAATAACTAACTTTATTATTCCTCTTATCAATCGGTCGACCGGATCATTTGGTAATCCAAAATGGTTGAACAATTTGGGTAGTGCATCATATATCAGTTTTTTAAGACTAATCATATCTTTACATAAACGTATATCAACACAAAACTAATACAATCGTTTTGAATCAATACTCAACTCAAATGAGCCATAACCTTATATCATCACTCATTTTTCATTGATTTCATGTTAGCAACAAATGCAAATAAGATATACTAATAAATGACAACAAGAGTTAAGCATTTATGTTTATATGTTTAAAAATAATAATATTATATTCTTAAATACAAGTAATATGCCTAGTCTGAGCAAAAAAAAATAGAGCAAATCTCCTCCTGATATGAATATGATAATTATAAATAGTATAACATATAACCCATCAATTGGGAAATAAATAATGAACAATTAAAGAATATAAATAAATCTATTATTATTTTGTGATCATTATTAACCTAGTATTTGCATTAAATATCATAATATCATTATTCACCCATGACTCGGGCCTACTAAATAATATTGATACCAATTTATCTAGTATCATTAATTTCCAGTCTATTAGATAGCTAATTAATCAAGTACATGTTGATTTTAATGTATTCGCATTGATATTATTAGCCCTTCCTATATTATAGGAATAACAAACCAAATCTCATATAAATATTAATATCAATTATCATCATTAATATTATTAGTTTCTTATACTATAAATGACTAATCAAATTCAGGTAAATAATAATACTAATTATCATCATTGTTATCACTAGTCTCCTACATCGAGAATAAATAATCAAATTCAAGATACAAATAATCATCATTAATATTATTAGTTTTTCATTTTAGGACTAACTAATCAAATTTCAGTAATACTGATATCAATGATTATTATTGATATCTTTAGTCTCTCATATCAAAAATGACTAATCAAATTCTTATTTCTTATTTCTTTTCATTCTTTATTGCCAAATTATTTGCTTCTTAATGTCAATTTTAAAAGATGTAAGGAATTAAATTAAAAATTCTATTGGTGTATTGATTTAGCTAAGATAGGCACTAGACATATACTTGCCATATGTGAAGTCTCAGCTCTAGATTGTGGTCTATTCGTATCCTCTCTCAACACAAAATAACTTCATCATTATTATATATATCTTTCATTCTTTCCTTGTAATATAATATCCATTAAGTACAATTAGGTTTAAAAACACATTTCAATTATGATTTTGAACACCATTTACATTAGTTATCCTCCCTCATTTGATGTCTATTTGGTCTAACCTATGCATAAAAAGGGAGGCAAGATTTTTCTTCACCTTGTCTTAAATTAACACTTGACTTATTGTTTAATCATTATAATAAACATGTTTCTAGCATTAAACTACTAATTTAAACAATTAAATTCTCTAACCTAATTTTTCCATAACACAAAACAAATGCTCAATTTATTAAAATTCAAGTTAAAACTTTAAATTAAGCTTGGATTAGACTTCCTTACCTCTTAAACACAAAACTTTAGAAGAAAATGGCAAGAAAAACAAGTTCCCCCTTCACCCTTTCCTCCGCGATACCGTCCTTTTCAAATAATAATTATCCTTGAATTTCTTCAATTTCCTATGTTAGATCTCCTTCCAACCTTTTTTAGTCCTTTATTTCAAGTGTTTAAATGAGAATTTTTGAAGAAAATTTAAGAAAACATCTCCCTCTCTTCTTCTTTTAATAGCTAGTAAGAAGTCAAATGTGTATTTATATTAGTCAATATCGTGCAATTTATGACAATACCCCTCTATTTTTATTTGAATATTTTTTCTTTAACTGGTTATCTTATTTCATCAATCTTCTACAAATAAATTTTGTTTGGAAGTTTTAGTCCTTAAAACTCAATCTCTAACTATTTATCACTATTATATTTACCTTTTTTCAAATGAATCTAGTTTATTATCGAGTCAATTTTACTCAATTAATAAATTTAAATTTATTTTATTTTATTTTGAAGTTAGGGGTTTATATTTTCAAATAAAATTATATCCTTTTTATTTTTTTATGCTCTTTCTATACAATATATCCTCCATAATATTTTTTTTTTCATTTTTTCCTAAACTTTATGCAAGTGTTTTTCCATATTTATCTATTTTTAATATCATGAATTTAAAAATCTAATAATTTAAAAAAAACAAAGTTAATGAACACAGTCAGTCTATTGTTTTTTAAAATGTTTAAAAGTATGGAAGTGATCACTTTTAAAAATATTTTTTATTTGGAATTGTATTAAAATTAATTATATTTTATTTATTTTAAAAAAATATTTTTGATACTAATATATCAAAAAGATCTGAAAACACTAAAAAACATTAATTTGAAGCCAAGAAAAAATTAAAAAAGATTTTTTTTAAAGCACTTTTAAATCAAAAATATAAATAGGCTCTAAAAAGATGCATTCTTTCATCACACGAGTTTTTTATTTTTCAAGCATCAAAGTTTAGTTTTTTTTTAATTGGTTTTTGCGTATCAAATTTAATTATTTTTCTAACCAAATCTTAAAATAAATGTAACACACTAATTAAAGATTTTAAATCCCTAGCTTCAAAATTCACAAAATATAGCTATAGAGGTTCTGTCCCACTGGTCAGCCATATCTAGATCTAAATAATAATAATAAATACTAATGTAAAGAAGAAGTTTCATTTTTATGTAAAAAAAATCTTTAGATTATATTAGATTAATATTTTAGAATAGAAAAGAAAAATACAAAAAAAAAACATAAACATTTTTAGTTAAAAAATTAAAAATATAAAATAAATTTATCTTTATAATAATTTATATAATTTCAAAATAAAAAAATATAAATAAAAAAACATATTAATTATAAACTAAAAGAGGAGGGGGTTTTACTATACCTCTTTGCATAAAGCATTATTCATTAGAATAATGATTTGTTTTGTTTTTTTCTTTGTTTTTTAATTAATATTTTTTTATTTAATTTTATTTTTTAATATTATAATTTTTATATTTAGTTATCACACTCTCATGATAAGAATTTCAGATTTGATAGGTTAACTTGATTTGATGAGTTAACTCAGTTGATTTGGATATTTTTTTTTCTTAATTAGTTTTTTTCTTTCAGTTTTATCTTTTAATATTGATTTGATCGAGAATTAAATTTTATTATTTATTTTATTTACTTTTTATTAGATTATCATGATCTCATGACACAAGAATAATGATTAACGAATTAACCCGAGTTAATTTGTGTTGTATTTTATATCCTTTATTTAATTAATTTTTTTAATTTTATCATTTAATATTTGATAAGTTGGGAATTAAATTTATAATCTATTTTGATTTATTTTTTATTAAGTTGGGAATTAAGTTTATAATCTATTTTGATTTATTTTTTATGAGAATATCTTGATCTTAAGATCAAGGTCATGAGTTTTGGTATTTAAACCCTAATTAAATCAAGTCATTTTTTTAAAATTTTCTTTCTAAGAGTTTATATTGTTTTCATTATTAAGGTCGCGAGTCCTTCAACATTAGACTTGTTTTTTTATTGAGTTGTCTCTTTTTCATGACCAAGGTTGCGAATTAATCTAAATGACTCATTTTTTCTCTTTTATTTTAATTTTTTTTTAATTTCATCAATTATTCTTTTATTTTAATTAATTTTTTTTAATTTCATCAATTAATATTATATTTAATTGGAAATTAGGCTTCATGATTTATTTTTATTTGTTTTTTATTAGGTTATTCTAGTCTCATGGCTTAGTAATAGTGCTTAATGGTTAATTCGAGTTAACTGAACTTATTTTTATGTTATTTTTTAATTAAGATTTTTATAAATTTCATCGTTTAATATTAGATCCGACAAAGATGATGGAGAATCGAGCTTTATAATTTGTTTTAACTTTCTCTCTATGTATGAGATTATCTCAATTTTAAAATCAAAGTCGCAGATTTGACAAATTAACTCAAGTTAAGTTAAGTCTTTTTTTATTTTTTTTATAAAGTTATTTCAGTATAATGACCTAGGTCATGAATTTGGTGAATTAATTCAAGTTATTATTATTTTTTTAATTTTATCCTTCAATATCAAGCTAGTTAGAGATTCAAATTTATAATTTGTTTTGATTTTTTTTATGAGATTATCTTGGTTTTATGATCTAAGTTGTAAATTTAACATGTCAATCTAAGTTGGCTTTTTAGGTTTTTTTTATTTTTTTTTAATTTTATCTTTTAATATTTAGTTAATTGAGAATTAAATTTAATAATTTATTTTGATTTGATTTCTATATAATTATTATAGTTTCATAACCCGGGTCATGAATTTAACATATTAACAAAGGTTTTCTAAAATCAATCTAATATATTGTTATTTTAATATTAAAAAAAATATTATTTTTAATTTTTTTAATTAAGATTTATTTTCACAAGTTATTTTTAACCATTTTTTAATTTTTTTAATTAAAATTTATTTTCACAAGTTATTTTTAACCATTAAAGTAAACCAAGTTATATAAAATAAATCCTCATATAATTTATTTTTTTTCTATGCTCCGGGTGAATAATTTATTACTATCTGTTTTAACTATTGTTTGTCTCTCATTCCAATATAATAAACTAATAATGCGGTCAGTTAAAAACATAAAACCAAAGTCGCCGAACGTTAAACACGAACGAAGCGTGTTCCGCATTTACACGCACAAACAAACAAACAGACATATGATGAAGAAAAAGAACGAAACACACACACACACACACACACACACACACATACTCTTCGCTTCGGCCTTACCTTTCCTTTCATGTGATTTCGTCGAAGAAAGAAAAAAAGCTCCAACTCCGTATCCCCACCCCCCTTTTGTGTCCTAAATTTCCAACAAACTCTTAACCCACACGTTGTTACTTCTTCTTCTTCTTCCTTTTTCTCTTTTTAATATTAGATCTTTCTTAATTATTATGTTTTTCTCAGCTCTCCTCTGAATGTACTGTGGATATGGCGGGACAGACTGTCAAAGTCCAGAGACAGGTGCTCGAGGAATGCATGACATGTCCTCTTTGTAACAAGCTCTTAAAAGAAGCTACTACGATTTCTTTGTGTCTCCATTCCTGTAAGTTTCTCTCTTTTTTTGCCCTTCTCTTGTCTAATTTGTTGTCTTCTATTTTTTTGATCTGGGGTTGTCGGGATTGTTGTGGAATTGGATGATGAAATTTGGGTTGTTTTTGGCTTTTGGTTTCTTGATCTGGGTTTCTCTTGTTTTCCAATTTCTTGTTTAGCTTGCGTATCATGGCTTGTATGGATGTTGCAATTTGATGATTCAATGTCGTCGAATTCGTGATGGGGTTTGTCTTGATTTGTATTAATCGATATGGAGTGCAATTCTAATAGTGTTCATTTTTGTTATATGGTGGATTATCATAGTTTTCAAATTTTCTGGTACTCGTGTATTTTTGCTCTCATTTCTGGTTTTGGTTCATGCATGTTCTGTATGACCTTTGTCACGTAGTATTGAATAGTGTTTTCTTGATGATTTCAGTTTCAGCTTTGTACACTACCGGTATGGTATTATGATTTAATAAACATAGTCAATTGAGTATCGACGATATGCATGCTTGAATTTGTTAACTTGCGTCGGGTAGAATCTCCAAATGCTCTCTGTAAGTTTGGTCCTTTAGGCTTCAGGTGGTACAGTTCTGCAATGCATGCTTTGCACCCCAAGGAAAGCTTTGCTTTTCTTCTTGTTGATCTCTGTTACTGATAAGAAAATTAAACTAAAACTTGCATTGTTGAAGTAATTTGAAGTTTTGTTGTACCTTGTGACCAGTGTGTAATAATCAATCCGTATTGCCACTCACTATCCTCTGTCAATGACTCATGTAAACATACCTCCAATGTCATGACTATTCAATTTTATTTAAAGAAAACAAAATATTAAAAGCTGTCAAAGTTCGTTGCCGGGCATGTAATTAAGATTATGCATGCTGGTTGCAATGGAGTGGCAAAAATTCCACGGAATTGCTGAACTATGGCAATTTGCTCTGTTTAATCATATGAGGCACATTTTATCTTGAACTATTTTTGTTGTTTGTTTTTAGTACGGTCACATTCTTCTGATTCTTTTTCTTGTTGATTGTTTTATCTAAGGTGCTAGATCAAACGCTTTGGTCTTGAACAAGCAATTCCCTCTAATTCCTTTTCCATCTAGAAATCTTTGATTGTTCGATTATCTGTTTCTGATGGGTTGGTTATGAATTCCAAACCAGTCTGCAGGAAGTGCATATATGAAAAGCTCTCAGATGAAGAGGTAGATTGTTGTCCTGTATGCAACATTGATCTGGGTTGTCTGCCAGTGGAGAAACTCAGGTTAGCCTGTCTGTGAAGCCATACACCCATAAACATGCACACAATCATACTTGCATACTGACAAGCACCTGTTCTCTTTTCAAAGTGCCACAAATCACTATACTTCTATTCTAATGAATTGCTTCTCAATTGAGTTTGATATGGCGTGGGGAGTTGTTTTTGGAAACATAGACTAATTCTCTGCAAATCCATTCACGTGATTTTATGTTCACTAACTGTAATACTGTTTTCTGTAACCAATGTAAATTGATTTGTTTGGGTTGCTCTTCCGTAAAAGTGAAGCAAGACTTCTTAATCCAAGAAATCCTGAATTTGCAAAATTCAAGATGATATTTTAGTTAAATAACTGTTCATGCCATGACATGCATTTTGACAAACTTCCAGGAAAAAAATTAGATCAGAGCACATGCTATGAAGTTTTCTCATGTTTATAGAAAAATAACATGCATTGGGATTTTCATGTTTGTATGCAGGCCAGACCATAATTTGCAAGATATAAGGGCCAAAGTATTTCCTTTTAAGAGAAGAAAAGTTAATGCCCCTGAAATTATGCCTTCGATTGCATTGCCAGCAAAAAGAAAGGAGAGATCATTATCATCATTGGTGGTCAGCACTCCCAAAGTGCCAATTCAAAATGGCTTGACGGGAAGGAGATCCAAAGCTGGTGCCAGAAAGGCTGCTGCATTACGAGGATGCAATTTTACTGTTGCGGAATCCAAGAAAGAAGATTCTGCTGAAGATAATCCGATGAGCCCAAGCTCACCAGGGTCTCCTGTCAAAAGTATTCAAAAGAGAAGGCTGGTAAAGGAGACATTAGTTTCATTCTTGTGCTTGGATGAGTTGCAATTCAACCTTGATGTTGTGCACGCTAGTTGCTGCCAAAAACATTTTTACTATATTAATGATGTTTTTTTCCTTGATAAATTCATGCAGGATTCCTCTGTGGCTGAACCTTCTACTGAGCAAAGATGTAATGATGATGACGAGGATGAGGATGTTGAAATAATTGAAGGGAAGGCTGATCTATGGACCCCCTTGAATTGTCTTGTTGAAGCTGCGAACAGAACCAAGTCCTCCAAATCGCATTCACAAGGGCTGTCTTTAGTCAAATCTGGCATGCTTGATGATCCTGATTGTGAACCACATCTGTATGAAACAAAACCCCGAGCAGAATCACCCGGTGGTCATCACAGTGAAGTATATATGTCTAAAACAAAAAATAAGGAGCATGGACAGGGAATAGGAGTCCAAGATGACAAGAATGGGAAAAATTCACCTCCCATATCAGTGAAGCGGAGAAGGTTAAGTGCAGCACGAAAAAGGGCAGCTCTGTCTGAGGGGTTGAGTGCCTCAGCTCAAGCAATGATAGATGCTGCATCAGCTAAGAGCAATAGAAGAAATGGTCCAATATGGTTCTCATTGGTTGCCTCTGAAGACCAGTAAGATGGTTCCCAGGCTGTCTCTAATTTATTTTACTTTGTCTACTTCGTGAAGCTTGGATTGTGACTGCTTCAATATTTGTTGCTAATGTTATGGAAATTGTCTCCAGGAAAGAAGATGCTTCCTTGCCGCAGATATCCACGTGCTACTTGAGGATTAAGTGAGTTTCTTTAGTCCTATTACCCTCAAAACTATGTTCCATTTTGTTTTTTACTTCTGAATATGTATATGTTATTTTTTCTCAGCATTTGTGTATTTGAAAACTACTTCAGTGTTTGAAAGGGTAAATTTGAAGTGGGCCACCATGCTTTCTTATAATCTCTTTTGACAGGTTAAGAAAATGGGTCTTTGTTTTTTGTATGAAGATGTCAAACAGAAACAAAGATTGAGGATTTTACATAAGATGATATAATATTATGGTCCAAGCATTTGTTTCCCCAAAATGTGGATAAACTTTTTACATATTATATCCATCTGCTATAATAGAGAAATGTTAGGCTTTTCATGTGTTGGTTATTTCAGTAATTGTGTGGATTTTATTGTTTTGCACTCTAGAATCTGTTTGGTCTTACTTCACTTTTAGTAATTGAAAATCAAATTTTGCTCTCATTGATCAACTTAGTTTTGGTGTATTCACTTGATGGTTATACCTCTGAGTTTGCTCAAATCATGGTCTTTAATGATGAAGCTATCAATTAACTGGGACTCATCCTCATTTACCCCTTGCTTTATTGTTCTTGATTTTTCTCGTCACAGGGATGGTAAAATGCCTGTGTCTTTCATTCAGAAGTACCTTGTAAAGAAACTTGATCTCGATTGTGAGACTGAGGTGTGTTCATCTCTCTTGCCTTCCTCAAAATATAATTTCCTTGTTGGTTAACTCGTTAAAAATTGCTGTGATTTTCATTTGTCAGCTCTATTGTCGTTTGCTGGCTCTTTATTATTGCTTGTAAAAGGTCAGGAACAGATATCGAGCTTGTAACTACTGTTGGGTGTAACTTGAAATTAATTTTTTTTTTTTTTTGTGGAAAGATCCCGGGGGGCATGTTTCCTTACTTCTCTTGTGCCTGAGGATACTGACTCATTTAACCCTAGGAAGTTTAGTTGGAATGATTTGAATAATTCCTAAAGCTTCAAGAATCAAAATGATAGAACCTTTTGTCAAGTGTCAATAAGGCTTCATGTTTTCATACCAAGATCTGCTAGGGAATCTTAAATCATATGATAAAATGTACTCTATCTTCAATCAATGTACATTCAACTCTTATCTTTTGAGTAACATGTAGTTTTACTGGAATGAAGGGAGATACATATACCGATGAGTGATAAACAATGATAACAAGTATCCAGGGCTATGGATGTCATACAGCATTATATTTTTCTGAGCATAGATGTTCTTAGCCAGATGCAAAACAAGTAGTTTTAAATTTTTAGATAATTTCCGGCTAACAAGATGGAGTGTTATAGTGCATTCTATATCAACTTAGTCAATGCTTTCATATTTCATGTTTTCTTGTATCACTTCTGTTTTCTCGTGACACTAAGAAAGCACTTCCTCTGCTTGTTGAATAAAAATCAAATCTACATAACTTTTAATAAATACTGGCATAGTTGCTTGATGTTCTTGTGGGGGAAAAATCTGAACTATGCAAGTGACTTTGCTAGGAAGCTTGGATATGTGGTCCCCACTTTTTCTGACAGTTCATTGTTTCCTAAAATTGTTGTTACATAGTTGATAAAATTGTTCGTGGACATTCCTAATACTTCAAGTCATGATTTTTAGAAATGGCATCATAACATTTGATTTGTGTGCTTATAATGGAATGAACACTAGCTGCTGCTGCTGCTGCTTCTTTCGTCTTCTTCTTTTTAATTTTGTAGGTGGAAATACTTTGCCGGGGTCAGCCTGTCCGGCCAACTTTGCAATTACAGAACTTAGTAGACTTGTGGTTTCGAACTGGTTCGACATCAAAAAAAGTACCAGCATCTGTGGGTTCGTCAGCTAAGGACTTCGTGATGGTATTGTCATATTGTCGGAAAGTCCAAGAGTCTTAAAATATACCTTTAACCTGACTGTCATCTCGATGATTATTTGCATCTTCAGTTATGAAATATTTATGTTGGATTTTCAACATCTGTAACCTTTCTGTGATCTTTAAATCAAATCATCACATGCTTGCTGCTTTGTTTCATGCATGTGATTACATGTATGAATATATTTATATTTCATTTATTATAATAGAGAGCCACATCACTTACGTTTCTATTCTTTCTCAACACTGTCTCCTGTTTATCCAGAATTTAAGTTTCTAATGATCATATCGCTATTTGAATTTACCAAGTTACTAATTTGCTGTTGAAAGCTGCAAATTGAGAGGAGAATGTATGTTTGTGAGAGTGGGAAGTTGTTGAAGCTGCTAGGAGACTTGTAAAACGTTTCCTCTTTCCGAACTGGCCAATGGCATATTAACTCCTGAACACTGTCTGCTAAATGCAGGCTTGCTCATGGCGGCACTATCTCTTGAACGGACATGAAAGGATGATTTCTTATTTCACTCTTCAAATTTAAGGCCGGCCATATAAAATCGAAGCTTAATCTAGCTCCATATGCTGGAGTTAAACGATCATCAAACCGTGGGACTAGTTCAGACCCTTCTGGATTGAAGAGCCTCAATCATAGGAAAAATCTTGACTGAATTTCGGACTTGCAACTCCTGTCGTTAAATCTCTTGTTCGTACCAAGTAGCATCATCTTAATCAAAAGCAGAGTGATTCTCTACCAAATTTAATTATGTAAATCTTCATGCGAAAAGGACTTAATTTCAGTATACAAAAACCGACTAAAGAATTTCAGAAGAAAAGAAAAAAATGAACTCGAAACAAGCCGATGAATTACAAGTAAACTATCATACAATCTCCTTTTTTAGCAAAATAATTAGTAAATTCCGTTAATTTAAAACCCTAATCTTAAATTCCTATATTTTATATTCATCTGCAACCTAATCCTTTCACTATATTTCAAAGATAGGTTAATTATTTTTCCCCTAAAGTGTCCTCCATTCCTTTGGAAATTGTCCAATCTCCCCAACTAAAAACAAGACAAAATCCCCTGTAACAAGGGTAATTCAGACATTTAAAGAAGAATTGAATGTAGACTGTGGTCAAGGGACTAACACGTTATTTTCAAAACTACAAGTACTAGATTGTAACTTTTGTAAACATAAAGGGACTAATTAAATAATTTACTCAAGAACCATTAATGATAGACAATCTTTAATGCTGGAAACTCTTCAGTGTGTTGTTTGCAATTGCTGAGAGGTTGAAGTGAGCGCATCAAACCTTGGTCGGTCGGTCTGTCTACTTGGAAGCTTTCTCAAAGTCAAAACATGCAGCAGGTAATCAATAGAAAACCCTCCTACAAACAACTCCATTATTACTATTGTTATTATCTTTTTATGGTTTAATAATTAAATAAATAACAATGAGGTGAATGGTGAAAGGGTGGTGGATCTGACAAGGAGGTGACTTGGGAGGATCAGCAGAACATCAACAAATTTGGCAGATTAAACAACAGATTGCACGAGCTTGAAGACGAAATTAAGATTGCCAAGGTACCATCTTTTTGTGTATTTATATGCCTTTGATTTCACTCTTATTAACGTTTAGCATTTATGTGGAGATGGTTTTTCTGAATTTGTAACAAGGGCAGCTTTGATTTTGTGTTTTATTTGATGGGTTTGTTCTATCATCTTTTTTGGGTTAGTTTTTTATGTTTTGAATAAGAGGTTAATATTTTTACTGAGTATTATTGGTAGATAAAAAAGAGAAAATAAAAAGATTGTTGCACTTATTGATCAGAGTGTGCAGCAACTGGAGTTTGCGTTTAAAAGGCTAAATGTGATTGATTTGAATATGAACTGGAAATTCAATTTTCTGTCTTAGTGTTTGTACGTTTAAGGGTATGTTGGTTTGGTGCAGTAGGAGGGCTTAAGCAAATGTAGGGTCAAAAAATTCCAGTGCTTGCAAGCTAAAGTGAGCTAATTGAGCTTATGTTGAATGTTAAAGATTGTTGAGGTTGCCTCGTATATCTTGAAATGGACGATCTTGAATATGTTAATTTGAGTGAAGATTGCATTAAGTTACTGGGTTTGTTTTTGCCTATGCTTTAAATGGGAACTGAAGTTAAGACTAAGCCTGTGAAAGATTTTGAGGAATTACATCTTCTTGCTGATCTGGAGCAAAGCTTGAGTGGATCGGTTTGTCGTAGGGTCCAAATATTGTGGTCACAGGCAAGTTGTTGCGCATGTCAATGGACCATATTCATAGAAAATTAAGATAGTGCAGGCATACTCTTGGTCTCCCATGCCAAAACTAAGGTAGTGAAACTCTAAAGTGAATTCTAATTTCCCTCTCTGTTTCCTAGTTTGATTTAGAATTGAGAATGGAAAGGAAGGAGACATGGAATAATTTTTTATTTTATTTTTCTGAATGCAAAAGATTTCGATCCCAATTTTTTGCATGTGGCAGCAAGTTATTCATATTGACCTTGTGGGTTCCAGCTAGCCTAGATGGTAAATTCACTTCATAAAATTCAATATCCAAATTAAGAATGCATTTTCTATGTTAAGATCTTACTTTTACTTCTTCCACCTTTGTTACTGGTTGCTTTCACGAAATTCTTGCTCCTCTCCCCTACATTTTTCTTTCTTATTTGCCCCTAGTTTCCTCCATCAGAGTTAAACATAACATGCTGTTATCATATTTAAGACTCGCTGAACTCCACAAACTCCTTTTCAAATTTCCATTTTGGTTGTTCAAATACTTTACCACCCAGGTCCATCCAGTCGGAGATGCTTTGTGCATAGTGTTCCCTTCACAGACATTTTTGTCCTAAACCTGTCTCGACTTAATTATACATAAACAAAAGCGCAAGGATTACCATAATTTTATGTGGACAGTTTGTCACATTGCCAGTACTAGCGCAACAGCACAGCGTAATAGCCATCTTTTGCAAATGGCAGCAAGTTATTCATATTGGCCTCGTGGATTTCAGTAGCCTAGACAGTAAATTCACTTGACTTTGTCTTTGAAGACCTGAAATTGAATCCCATCCAAACTGGGATGCGAGGGATGAAAGGGATGAAAGGATGCATCTTGTTGTGTAACCTATCTCTTGGACCTAATATGCCCCACCCATTCTATAAATGCATATAGGGATGCGTAATTTTGTTTTTAATCCTGTTCTCTACCGTGCTGAGTTTTTTCACTTATGCAATAGCTCCTTTTCTTCAGGAAACCAATGATAATCTGGAGGATGCAAGCAACGAGTTAATTCTTACTGATGAGGAGGTGGTTCGGTTCCAAATTGGAGAAGTCTTTGCTCATGTTCCAAGGGATGAGGTTGAGACCAGGATAGAGCAGATGAAAGAGGTGACTAGTAAGAACATGGAAACACTTGATGAAGAGAAAGAGTCCGTGGTTGCACAGATGGCCAAGTTAAAGAAGATTTTGTATGGAAAGTTTGGGGACTCCATTAACTTAGAGGAGAATTAGTGAGGTAGGTTTTTGTTTTATTCCACAGAAGCTGTCTTGCTGATTTGCCATTTTATTCATGGAAAAAGTCTCTTGCTTATCGTTGAAATATCAGGGAATCGACTTCTTCAAATGGTAATTGGATATTTTAGATTGTTGTCCAAGCTTCATGAATATAGATGGTCTCTGTCTCTTAGTCCGAGGTGTATCTGCTATGAAGTGAACTGTTCTCTTCAAATTTTGATATTTTCTGTCTCATTTGTTATGAAAGCTGGTTTTCTTCTGCTAGTTGTCGAGTTGCTTAAAAGTACGGTTTTATGTATATATATCTTTTAATGAATAAAAGTCGTAGAAGCCCCACCAAAATTAAAATTCAAGTTTCCGTCTAGCAACAAACTATTGACAATGGACTTGCTAGGCAATCAGAAGGCCATTGCAGAATTTTCCTTTACAATTGCTTGATGTATGTCAAAGATCAAATCACATATATGATTGAAAAAAAATAAAATAGAAATGCTGATTAAGCAAATCGGACTGTTTAATCATAAGCATCCGGCGTTTTCTTCCAATTCAAGTTAACCATTGGGGATCACTTGATACAACTCTGTAGCCTTCATTTGTGTATAGTTTACGAGCATCCACATCATCTTCATATGCCCTAAGTGCATGATATTCAAAACCCCATCGATGGGAGAGCATGTCACATGCTTTTAGCAAGGCGCTTCCTATTTTCTCTATTTTCTGCCCCTGATTGTTTGTCATTCAGCCTCAACATAGTGTTTCAGGACAGAAGAAAAATTGTTTGTTACATAGCCTTAACATGATGATGTTTCAGGTTACTTTCAATTAGTGTTCCATGATAGAAGAGATAGATATATAAGAGATATAAACGTGGTTAGCTAACAAGATAGAAACGGAGACAAAATAATATGCATGTTTTCAAAATAATTTTAAAGTGATTTTTAATACTTTTAAAACATAAAGTATAGAGAGGCATGTGTTCTTTGTCATCATGGTCTGTCTCTTTTATATCGAGACAGTAGTCAAACATTATTATACATTCGGCAAAGCATGAATGGACGGTGACTATCATTGCCATAACATGAAAATAATTTGTCGAAGGTTAAGATTTATTATATGATTTGAGTTTTACAACATGAAAAGACTATTTCGGAAATATAAAAGTATTCATATGCATGTAAGGTGCTACATGATAACTTCATCTCTTAATGATATGACATTCACAATGCCCACCATCTGCCTTTTAAATTCAAAAGATTCAGCTACATGCTCAGTGATGCAGGCAGACAGAAGCTAACAAGGACAACAATAACACAAAAACATACGTTATAAAGCTAAGACCCATCGTCTAATGATTTTGTTGGGTGACTTAGGTTATATGGTGTTTTTCCTCTAAATATTATTATTATGCCCTCGTTTATTATTCTAATCTACCTAGAAATTTCTACTAATAGCCTTAGCAGCCTATTGCTTCTCTACTACCAAGTCCCTCTGATATGCCTTTGAAATTATTCATAGAGACTGAAGACAATGTACATCTCGGATGGACTGCTGTAAACCACTTGGATACCTTGTCACAAACTACCCTTTTATTTTTATCAAATCATTCCAGGCTATTAACTTGTAGGAATCAATAATGTAATCATAGATAGACTTACGTTCTTGTTTCGGCATGTGAAACCTTTGGCATAAGGTTTAGAAATAGCTGAAAAAAGGAAGTGCCCCCTTATCTTCTTTTTATCATCTTGACCTAATCATTGGTTTTTGGCTTTCCTTGCCTCTTTTGCATCTTCTTTAATTGTTCCCACTAGAAGATAACCGACTATTTAGTATGATTGTGATTATCTTAACTCATGTTTACTCAAAACCTCATTGTACTAAAAAATTCATCTCAACTTTGTTCAACTAGTCTATGAATTCCTCTGTCTGCAAACTTCCAACAAACTCAGGAATCTTGACAAGAACATTATAATCCCTAAATCTGATCTCTTCTAGCTTGAGATGTTGACTTTTTTTATTTTCAGTACTACTCAATGACCAATGATCACACTCTTGGTTTTGGTTTTAGCCTAATAAGTCCATCTCTTTTAACCTGCAGGTCAACTCTATGATTTGCATTTGCATGTCCTGAATGTTGAGCACCTGGACATTTCTCGTCTAAATAGAAGCCTTCTTATCCCCTCATTGACCACACCCCGCTCCATAATCTTTGCCTGCCATGGTTGTAGCAGCACATATCAAGCAAATAAATATTCATGAGATTACAACACACATCAAGCAATAAATCTAGAATTGTTGAGCTCTTATACTAATTGATGCGGGTATAAGTTAATAAAGACAACAACATAGAAAATATAGAAAAATATACAAGGTTCAATGAACAAAAAGAATTGCATATCTTAAATTCACAATTTTACTATTTGAAAATAATTATAATGAAATCTATCTCCTTAAATGTTTACAAAACCTTTAAATAAGCTACATAACCCTACCTCTACTAGAAAAATAACTTAAGATCCTAAAACACAAAGGAAATTAAAATGGAATCCAAAATAAAATAATAAATCCAAAAAAAGTTAGGAAAATAAAAAAATTGACCTCAATAACAATTTATAAGCCTAATTCTGAGATATCTGATTATTTAATAAGTAAAAAAGAAACTTTTTATAGAATCATGTGAAAGAATTTAAACTCAATTCAACAATTGAATTTTTTATTGTCATAGTTTTAAGATATTAATTCAGTCTGGCATAACTAGATTTTCTTTTAATCTTAAACTTGCCTCATTGATTTATACAAAAACTTAGTAAGTCATTCATATAATTTGTCAAAATCTTAGATCCTTACCTTAATGTTTGCAACCTTCAATTTCTACAAGCACGACTACATCACTCGGTCACCAAACACCCATCTGGTTGATGTTAAATAATCATCATGCTTTCAAGTGATCAATTAGCCAAAGCACCAATTTGACCTATAAAAAGATTATTAATTCTTTTAACCACTTGGAAGGCTTAACTGGTTTAACGTGCTAAAAATAGAGTTCACGTTCACGAGACTGTAGATCTTTACTTAATAATCATGTCTCATCATCATAGATTTATACATGTTCCTTAAAATTATATCAATTCTTGATGGTCCGTGGTTCTCTCTCTGCCCCGGTCTCCCCTCGTGTTTTTATTGCTAAGGTAATTATAAGCAAATATTATAATATTTTGAGCTTACAGTGGAATTCTATACTGTTGCGTAAGCTAACTTTTAAACGCTACAGGTTTTGATCAAACCTTTTCCTTTTCTTAAAATTTCCGTTATTAAACAAGGACCACCGTTTGTTGTTCTTTTATTTTATGATTGCTTTACTAAAGCTTGTTAGTGTTTATAGTTCATAATCTCCTAAAGTGATGAATTGTGTATATATATATATTTTATTTTACTAGACACTAACAGATCTCACATGTCGTGAGACATGCATAAAGTAGCAGGTTTGTCTCTTTTGATAGAATCTCTAATTTCTATTATTTTTCCTCTGTTCTGGATTGTGAGAGAACCGAAATAAAATTTATTAACAAATTTAATAGGTTTCCAGTTTTTCTGGTTTTTCATGACAAAAAAACCTACCATGGTCGAACCAAACTGGTCCCTAGTAGTCATGATAATTACAAAGGATAAGGAAGAACCTTGAAGAATTCGATGAAAAGGTCATCAAAGAGGGCCTTCGGTGTGTGGAATGCTTCCACTAGAATTTGAGCTCCTCCCCTCATCTCATCACGATTCCAAGCTAACCTTCATTAAACTTTTGAGAGATTTTATTTTAGCTTTTTCCTATTGAAGTTCTTGATGCCAATCATCAATATTTCTGTATATATTAGAGGAAGCCAAGGTATCCTTCCAAACTAGTTTTTATCAAAAAAACAACAGCAGAAAAGCTGATCCCTCAATTTAGCTATTTAAGTGGCGGGAAATGCAATAAGGATACACATATTTAACTCCTCCTAACTTACCTATCCTTGGCAGATAACCTCACAGGGATAGCAAGCAAACGCATAGAACTGCCATGGAATCATATATATGCTTTGTTCTTTAAGTTATTAAAGGTTGGACATGTGATAGAAGAGGAATAGGACAAAAGGGAAGCAAATTGGCTTCCCCTCTTTCTAAGCTTAATAAAAGCATTAAAACCAGGCATTATGAGTGCTGCATTACAAACTGCGGGGATGCTAGTGTACCAAAGCAAGAAAAGATAGAGTGAAGACCTGATCGTGCTACTTAAACAGTCTATCATCCACTCATCATCAACCATTACTTTACTTGAGCTTCGACTACGAGCTGGTTTAATGATTTTGAGCATAAGCCGCCACAATCAGATATGTCAAGTCCATGATAACCATTCTTCAGTATAATACCAACAGGAGACGAGAATTTTTTAAGTTGGTTAATCATCTTGATGATTCACTTTGTGCCTAAAGAAAACACGAGTTTCCATTAACAGTCAACTGAAACAGACAAATTAGTAATCACGCTTGAATTGCTACAGTAAAGCTGGTTACCAAAGGAAAAATTCCCCAAGAAAGACACAAAAATCACCTCCTTGCAACTGCTGCCAACCGACACGTTCCCAATTCGATCTTAACATTCTTATGGCCTTCCCTCATAGCATCACAAAAATAGAAGCTGCAAGTTACAACAAACCAAAAATCCAAACTACCAAATCCAAGTCACCATTCCCCAATTCCACCGTCAGCAACAAACTCCATCGTCATCTTGGGCATGGGCATAAAACCTCGATTCAAATCTCCTAAAAACAATGAGATTCCACCAATACAAGCTTCAAATCAAACAATGAGATTCCGAGTACAACCCGTTTTGGGTTGCAAAGGCCGACTGCCAGCTACTGAAAGCAACCCACCTTCAACAGCACTTTCCTCATCAAGAAACAAATCCTCGGTGCCCCTAAACGCAGCATGAACTCCAACAACAACCACCCCAATAATCAAAGCAATCAAAACATTCAAACCCACATCAGTATACGCCAATGCCACTATAGTAACCAATCCAAGAACACACAAAACAACTCTATCATCAAAACTCCTATTAAACAGCACAACCGGGCCATCACGCTCGAAATAAAGAAACAACCACGCGACAAATACCCCGATAAACACAATAATAGAAATTGGATGCCACAAAAGACTTAAAAACAGGATTGCAAGAAATATCATTGCATAATTTACGCGAAAGTAATTGACGTTGTATTTGATCCGTGAAATGGATTCATCATAAGTGTAAGGGCGAATGAAAGATGAGAACTTTATAAGTTCTTGCCAAGGACGGCGCGTTGCAATGAGGGTTTGAGTTGTGGTGGTGGCGCGTGAGATGAATGTCAGGGTCGTTGGTGATCGTAGGGGTTGTGTGGTGGTTGTTGTGGTTGTGCTGATGGTGGTGGGGATGGTGCCATAACCTGCTTGTGGTTTTAGTGACATTTAAATGGAGGGTTTTTGTTTGGATCGGATTGAAAGAAAGTTTGAGACTTTATGAGTTCAATCAAAGGTTGGTTTTGATTTGGAGAGAGAAAGATGAGACCTTTATGGTAAATTAATTTTTACCTAAGAACAACAAAATCTTTTTCGGTATAGGTTCTCTCTGGGATTCTGGATTTTTTTTTTGAAGAAGAAGACCAGAGAAAAATTGGAGAGAAACTGTGCCAGGGAAGAGGAATCTCATGTTCAAAAAGATGGCTTCTTTCTTTTTATTTGCTCACAGTTGCCAGCCAAAAATTAGCTTCGTTTAAGGACCAAGCTTAACCCACCATTTAAACATGGACTCCATAATCTGTGGAAATTGATATGCTACTTCTTCGATTACCATTTAATTTTCGATTTAGTCATTACTATTTAAACTTCCAATTCTATCTAGAATTATAAGATAAAGAATAGTTCTTGACTAGATTGATGTATCATATGCTGTGGATTAATTTTTTTCTAATGTAAAAAAAAATGTCTAAACGTTCATGGTTTTTTAAATAAGAAAAAAATATAAAATTCAGGTATTGATTAGGATGAAATCAATAATTTTAATTAATTTAATAATATAATTAAAAAATAAATAAATATTTGTTAATATTATAAGAAGATTTCTTCTAAATACCTTTAAAATATCTCAACAATTTTATTTGATAATAAAATAAAAATAAAATAATCTTATAAAAAATAAATTAAAACTTAATTATTAGTAAATTAAATATTAAAAAATAAAAAAAATATTTGATTCAATTTAACATATTAAATATTAAATTTGTTTTTTAATTATAAACCATAATAACTCATAACTTGAAATATAAAATTAAAATAACTACATAAAAAAATCAAGAAGTTTAAGGATAAAAAGATAAAACTAAAAAAAAAATTAATTTACAAAAAAAAAAACCTAAAGTTAAAATAAACTATCTTTGAAATCATTACTGGGGTAATAAACCGAGATTACTCCAAAGCTTTTAAATCTATTCAAAAGCTTCATACAAATACATTTAACAAGTTCTAACAAGAACATATAGAATCACACATGTACTTTCTTGCACAATTTATTCTTTTTATATTTTTCTCTCTTACATTTTACTATCTCAAGCATAAAAAAATCCCTCCCTTCAACAGAAAACCTACTTTGCAAGGAGAACCAGGTAAGCTCACACTTCACAACCAAAACTGCTCGTAAAAAACCCAATCCAATTCTGAAGTTTTCACAACTTCATCTGTTGATAAGCTGGGTGATGAATTACATAATTACGTGCAAGAAAGAGAATATGATTTTATTTTTATTTTTATTTTTTGAAATCAACGGAAGAAGAAAACTATCTTCAAAAGAAAGGGTAAAAGAAAATTCTAATATTGTTGATTTTCAACTAGAAAACTCGTACAATTATAACGAAAAAACCTATCAAGTCACATGGGATTCATAGCAAAACAGGAAAAGAACTCAACATGCTAAATTTATGTCAAGTACTATCTTGTATTGAGATACCATTTCTACTTTCTTCTCCTTTTCCTTTCTCCCCCACGAGGATTTAATACAACTAATTCGATTTTGCAGCTTCTTCCAGAATAGGAAGGAATGAGAAAAACCAGCAAAGCTTTCATAGACAACTTTCAGTCCCTCATCTCAGTCTGATGTATTTGCCATAGACACGTCATGGTTTTCCCTGATCTGTGCCATGAAACTTTCTCCCAGCATCAACTGCTTCCCTGAAAGAAGAGGCGAGTTGCATGGTTACAAATAAATTTATCCTAAAGATGGCATAGAAAAAGAATTAGCAATGAGTTCTGAACGTGCACACTAGGCTAAACATGTGTCATGAAATATAGCCTGTTAAAAGGACAGAAGTCAACGTAATCTATCTGGTGTGCTCATGCAATGAGGGAAAAACTCATTTATTGCTTCTATGGGTTCTGAAAGTTCTGCAAAGGTGCTCCAAAGTACCGAAATGCAATGCAGCACAAAACAAGATTAAGTCTAGTGTAGAATGTGGAGACTGTTGCAAAATAACCAGATATGAGATTAACTACAATCAAAAAATAAAAAATCTCCAAGTAGAAAAATAAAATAAACTTGTAGAGATACCATTTGATTCACAACCAGAAATGCTTGTATTCTATGTTCATTATACAAATTCATCCCTCCACTCCTCACCAATCACACAAAGGAGTTATTTTCAAATTTCAATTGGCCTTACATCGTTCTTTTTTTTCTTCCTTATACAGTTTTTGCCAGGTAATTTGCATATCTGTAAGTTCCAGAGTTAACATGCTCGGTTAAGAATTCAGAATCCATATGCTGATATACTAGCATATCTTGACTTACATGGAAAGAGAACAGAAGTTTAAAGGGTCAGAGAAGCAAAAATTTGTAACGTAATTTTTTATCACATACCTAAAGGATTTCACAAGCTCCTTATTTTCAGGGTCAAGCTTCACACCCTCATAAAAGGAATTTGCTGCTTCATCAAACCTCTGCAAGTACAAGGCAATCAAGAAATGCTAGACAATGTAAATCAGTACAGCACCCATGGAAAAAAGAAAAGAAAAAAAGGCATGCCTGCAACAAGCGCAGAGCTGCGCCTTCCCGATACCAAGCTTTTGGCCAATCAGGTTTTAGCTCTCTGCAGGCCTTTGCATCAGCTAATGCTTGGTCAGGTTGCCCTAATCGTATCCAACACAGGCTTCTATTTGAAAGCACAGCAGCATTTGTGGGATCCAGATCAATTGCCTGCAAATGCAACATCAACCTTCTATTCAGTCAAGATCCAGAAAGCTACTCAATAATGATGGTCAGTCAGTCAACTAAGAATTCTTCAATGTTGTGTATACAACATTAATAATAAAGTATCAGAAAGCAACCACAAGCACCTAGAAAGGAACATTTGCATGTGTATTTCTAGATCTTCTGGCATTCCATCTAAGGCTTGACTACTTTAAAACAAAATTTGCTCCATTAAATATCCCATCTTGACATATAACCCCTTTCACAAACAATTCAACTAATTTCCATATTAAAGGGAAACACAAATTTAGATTTTAACACCTAATTCTTTAGACAATCATGACTCATGTAGGGTGTCCAAAGATCCAATGTATGAAATGAGTTCCGATAAAAATTCAAAATAGGATTAGACTATCTATCCATATATATCAGGATAATTCTCCAATCTGTCCTTGAATCCCTAATTGATTCAATTTTATCCTTGAATATAAGCTAAGTTTCTAATAAATCCCTTCAGTAAGATTTTTAGGCTAAAGCACAGGAAAAAGTCACGTGATTTGCACATGAAAAACTTCAGTTTGTCTAGCTGGGAAGGGCATTTTAAGAGTAAAAATAGCTGTATGCACATCACATGACTAATTCCAGTAGTCTGGCCTGGAAATCTTGTCAAAAGGATAGATTAGAAACTTAACGTATATTCTAGGACAATTGACTCAACTGAAGATACAAGGATAGATTGGAGAATTACCTTATTAATAAGGACAGATTGAGTCCTTAACCCTTCAAAATATTTAGTAACAGGACAAAAGTCATTAAAAAGCTAGTTTCCAAATGCCAAATAGCATGTTATTTGAAAAAACTAATTTCATGCATAAGGACTGAACACTCTATTAAAAGAACAAGAAAAAGAATAAAAACTCTAAACCTCTGAAATAGGATACAGAACAAATGACATACTTGTGCATAATCATTCACTGCTGTAAGATATTCGTTTCGTTTGAAAGCATCATCTCCTCTTGATTTTGCTTCAGCAGCTCTCTCCTTTGCTTCAGGTGACACCTGAAAAAGTTGTTGGAACATTTATTATGGTGAGAAACACACTGAAATATAATTCCAACCAAATTTCTTGAGTTGTGGGATCACTTTGCCTTGGCATAAAAGACAACCCATGATGCAAGGTACATTTCCAAGTGAATTGCCATAAACTCCTAAAAACTTCATGAATGCTAGTGTAATGCCATTCAATTCAGGTATGGAAACCAACCAATTTTGGGGTAGATTGGTCTGTTCATGTTATAACAGTAAGATTATGGATTTGATTTTAGTTGAGGTTGGCTCTTGGGATAATGCTTCATGTTGCCTGGCAACCCAACCCTGTAACTAATTGACAGGCTCAGTTCAATGATCAGGTTGGGATTGAGACATAAAAAACGTATATCTATCTATAATGTGTATGTATTCTTCCCTTCTTCATTAAAGCTGCATAAATGCAATAAACAGGTTAGGAGGTTGCAAGATCTAATTTCCCTATGTTCCAATTGGTTATCAAAATGCAAAAGATTACAGGATAAGGAGGGAGCCAAATCAATCTGAACTGCTTCGGTTCAAATCTGGGTTGGGTTTTTGGAGTTAATAAGTCATCCCAGTCTGAAAAGTGACAGTTCTGATACAACCCACTTGGTTTCAGACCCATTCATAACAAATACATAAATCTTAAATAGCATTAGCTGCACTGAGCAAGCTTCAAAATGCTAAAGATAAGTGGAGCAAAGAGCCAAATCAATCTGAACAGCTGCAGGTCAATTCTGGGGAGGATTTTTGGAGTTAATAAGGTCAGCTTAGCTCTGAACGTGACAGTTCTGATCCAACCAATTTGGTATGAGGCCTATATATAACTAGTACATAAATCTTAAATAGCAGTGCTGAGCAAGCTACAGAAGGTCTGCAATTAGCATGATTTCTTGCATGTGGTTGAAGGTTCCATGATTTCTTACTTCAAAATAAGAATAAACAGAATGGCCAAAGCCATGAACACAATTGAAGCATTTGAACCAACAAACAAAACAAATCCACTTTATCACGTGCGATAACCAACTGCCATCATTAGAAACAACTTTTATGATTGACTGCAAAATTGACAAGTAAATCAAAACTGAATTCTTAAAAACATAATTGCACCCAATGAGAGGAAGTTACACATAAGTGATAATAGTAAGCTATTCAGTAAAACTATGGCAAGGAAGAAGGATCCATTGTCAAGGAATAAACTCAAAAAGCATCATGACAAAAAAATCACAACAAAAGCAACATGTAACCAGCAAGAAAATTAAATTATAGCATAAGCAGAACCTCAGGCAGATCTCTTTTAAGTGTTTCTGTGTCCCCTGAAGCGTCAACTTCCTTCACTTTCTGTGTTTCTTCCTACAAAGAATTTCCAACCCAATCAAAGGGAAATTAACACTAGGAAACTGCCAAGAATAAAATAAAAATAGCTGTGTG